TTGTAACTTAAAGGGACGTATCTATGGCAAGCTGCCATGCTGATCAGTGTTCTTGTAGTACAGTCAGGTACAGGCAGCTGTGCTCGTCTGGTATTTTAATACCTGATTGCCTCAAGTTAGATATCATTCCAGAGCTGTTACCATTACTCAGAAATAGCTGGAATAATAGCCTGAGGCAGTCTTCCATTTAGAGTGGCAATATTGGTTTCTGGGTAGGCCTTAAATATACATACCCAGAGTGTAGTATTTCTTTTAGATTTGATTTCAATTGCAGTTCATGGCTATCGTTGCCCATTGGCCTTCTTTTTATTAATCCACTGAAAGCATGGATGCAATATCATTAAAATGATATTATTCATTAATATGTTTGGATCATCTCTTTCATCATGCAATCCCTAAGAAGAACAAAAATAACAAATACCAGCAAAGTAATTCATCTTCCTGTAATGCTGTAAATTGGAAGCACAATGGCTGACCATGTTGCTTTTCTTATAAAAACACTTATTTCAGTCTTATTGTCTGCCAAAATAAATTGTGGATCTTTTAACCCATTCTCCTGAGGCAGCAAACATTCCATTGAAATTACGGGGGGAGTGGAGGAATGCCCTTTACCCAAATTAAAGAAATTCAGGTTATTTCAACTAAATGGGATTCTACTTATATTCTATAGTATCTTGATACCCAAAGGTCATGGAATTGAGTCGAACCCACTTATTTGTAACAAACAAGACTGCAGAACTACAGAAAGACCCGTCAGAATTGCAAAGTCCAGGGAAACTTACTCAAAACACAAAGATGAAATTCTAGGAAAAAATTATTTGCAATATTCTGAGTCTGAAAAGTGCTTAATTTCATTGGGAAAATCTAAGTAATTTATGGCAGAAACAAAGAGGTTAGAAAAATCTATATGACTAAAGAAAATTTATTTTTCATTTTTATTTTAAACAAAATATCTAAAAAATTTTACTTTTAATGTTTGTCAAATCCCAAACTTGTGTACATTTGCCAAAATTCAGATTAGAGCTGAGCAAATTAGTGATTTTTTTTCAGGGACCAAACCTCAACAAGTAAAAGTAAATACAGTTTGATTTGGTTCAAACTGAAACTGATTTTTATTTTGTTTTGTCGCATCAAACAGGAAAAAATAGTTTCAGATCAACCACAATATTTTTCCAGGTTTTTTTCAATTCTTTTGGGGTCATCTTGGGTTATTTTTCAACTGTTTATGTTTTTTAATAACCATATTTTAAAATCCCATTAAAAAAAATCAAACGGTTCCATTATGACATATATGAAGCATACTGAAATGAAACACTTTGGCTGTGTCTACATTGGCATCGCTTTCCGGAAAAGGGATGCTAATGAGACACTTCGGAATTGCAAATCTGCGGGGGATTTAAATATCCCCCGTGGCATTTGCATTTACATGGCTGCCGCTTTTTTCCGGCTCGGGGTTTTTGCCGGAGAAAAGCGCCAGTCTAGAGGCGATTTTCCGGAAAATAAGCCCTTCTCCAGAAGATCCCTTATTCCTACTTGAAAGGGATATTTAAATATCCTGGGCTTCATTTGCATGTTTCCAGGCGGGCGCCATTTTTAAATCCCCTTAGTTTGAATTGACTGCCCACAGCTATACGCGGCAGTCATAAGTTAATCCGAACTAAGTCCTTAGTTCGGATTAACTGTTACTCCTCCTGCAATGAGGTGTAAATACCAAAAATACCTCATAGAGGAAGCCATGAGACTGTGCTCCCACTCTGATCTGGGACCATCAGAACCACGGATGCAGTGTCTGTCATTGGTGCCGAGCTATTTCCCAGAACCTCTCACATCTGGGGGCTGGCAGCATTCGTGGTCAAGAACAAGCCCAAACATGACAGTAAGAAGCTCCCATGGACGTAGGAGTGAGTATCCATCAAAGACTTCTCCGAAACACAGCATTTCTTCCTCAGGGCAGGCCAGGCCCAGTGAGCTGTTGCATCCTGCCACACCAACATCCAAGCTTCCCCACACTGAGATTAAAGCAAAGCGCATGAGTAATTCAGTGGTATTGCTGATTGGCCTGGTACCCACCCAGCTGGAACAGTCTGCAGCATGATCACTGACCATCTGCTGCCATCTCCATGCTTTTTGGTCCAGTTAGCCCATGAACAGCACTTCAATCTTCTGGCATCTCCAAGGTACAACCCTGAATCCTAGCTGTTTGGACCCCATTCTATATAGGGAGTAAGTGGAACTTTCCTTTCCACCCTCTCTGCTTTTCTCAGGCCACAGCCCCTTGCCCACAAGGTTCCCACTCCGACAGATGAACCCTGCCATCTCCATGCTTTTTGGTCCAGTTAGCCCATGAACAGCACTTCAATCTTCTGGCATCTCCAAGGTACAACCCTGAATCCTAGCTGTTTGGACCCCATTCTATATAGGGAGTAAGTGGAACTTTCCTTTCCACCCTCTCTGCTTTTCTCAGGCCACAGCCCCTTGCCCACAAGGTTCCCACTCCGACAGATGAACCCTG